AGAAAGGTCCAAAGAAACACCACCAAACCATTTAAAAACAAACTGTGTGAAGAGCAATGTTGCCAACTTAGCACTTTTGTTGCTATATTTAGCAACTTTTCAGTCCCCTCTAGTACTTTCATTTCAAAAAAGCACCTAGCGCCAAATCTAACTACTTTTTTCTGCTTGTGGCGACTTTGGCAACAACATGTAAAAGCTCCAAACTCTGCTCTCCACAGCAAGTAGATTAGTAACCCCGCATCCTGCTCTCCTCTATCTTGTCTGCTGTCATGATTCATGCAGATATTTTTTCATGCAAATGAAAAATGGAGAACAGATAAGCAGATCGTGGCTTGTCTACTGCGAAAAGAAAGATTGTGTTATTTTATTTTGCCGTTGCCTTTTTGGAAACACAGAAAGTTGCAATCTAAGTGAGCTTAGTGACTCCAAAACATAGAGAGGAAAATAACTAGAAAAGGGACAAAAAGAGGGGGACAAAACATAGAAAAAATAATGTATGTCTATTCTATTAAAATATCTGTATCTGTATAGTGGGTCTGGTTAATGTGTTGCCTTCTCAATTCAGAGGGCCCCCTGCCTGTCTTTGCCTAGGTGCTCAAATTTCCTAAATCCGCACCTGCGTGAAGATGTACATGATTGTTTAGTACAACTTTGCATGTTTGTTTTGGTTTTCACAATGTTCTAATGTTGAATGCAACAGAAAGAGTAAATAAAACATAAAGGGCATTATTTTATCAGACCTATGCAATTACAAAATATTCTACCCACTAATAAGGGTCACAAAAAGAGGAATCAGCATTACTTCCATTGTCAGCAGTCATAATCTTTTGTATGATTGATGTATGTTGAAGTGAAATTCACGTGACTCAAATCCTGATAGTCATCAAGTAAAATAAAGTGAATGGGGAAACAACAAAAAGCCCTATCATTGTCAACACAGACTGACTTCTGTCCATAACAATATGATTATATTGCTTACTTAAAGACACTAACAAAAACCTATTTAGGTAGACAGCTTTAATGTATGCAGAAGTAGGTAACTAATGAGCCATTTGTAGGCACGTTAGTCTCTTTGTCTCTAAGCTGCATCTGGCACTAATTACATAAAAGGCAGTTGCTTTTAGTAAGCAGACACAGTAAGCAGGTAATCTTGTTTTTAAAAGCTTGACACCAACCAGAGGCAGTGAGGTAAATGGAGAAAACGGAGAAAAGTTTGACTTGTAGATTCATGCTGAGATTACAAACACTTGACAGCTCATTACTATCATGAAACATCACAATGTCTTTGTTATTCAGCTCATACAGTAGCCCTTCTATTCTATAAACAGTATCTCTAAATAGGTTATTTCCAGAGTAAGTGATTTATTTTATTCATTTTTGGGTGCTGCTTTGTTTTCAGTCCCAGAATAGCCAATTAATGCTTTATAACTGCTGAGTACATAAGTAATATCGCAGTGCTGGCTGATTTATGCTTTTCAGACAAAATTAGAACAAGTACAATTGGGGATAAACAAAGTGCATCTTTGCCTGAGATGAAAGCTATAAGAGGGGGAGTAGGCCAATATTATTAAAGCTTGAAAATGAATATCAACCTTTATTTTTATCTCTTACACAGCAGATCATACTAAAGCCAGTCATGAAATCAGCATTTAAAAAAGAAAATTGTGTTTTATTTTTAATATATAATATATACAAATGACTTGCCACACAACCTTGTTATGATAATTATCATTGATGATGTGTGAGTTTATTACACCTTGGTATTGGCTGCCTGTTGCATGTCAGAACTGATGTTTTAATCTAATTAGGACATTTCCTCTTTCTGGATATACAGTTATAATCTTCATTCTCTACGTGGAAAAGATTTGGAAATGAAATGAGGTGTCCTTCAGCTAAGAACGAAGTGTAATATTTTGATGAGGCTGGAGCCATGGATGTCTAATCATCTGCTAACATGTATGATGTAAAATAAGATGATGTGGCAGAATGGAGATTTATAAAATGCCTTTTTATCTGTTAATCGGAGCCACTTCCTGAGAGGTGAGCCCAGATGTGAGCAGCTGCCTTCTGTACATTCTAAGCAATTTCTCTGATCTGAGTAAGA